TGCCCGCCTTCGTTTTGACAATGAGGTCGTCCACATACGCCTCGATGTTCCGCCCGATCTGTCGCGAGAAAACAGTGTCAATCATTCTCTGGTATGTTGCGCCCGCGTTTTTCAATCCGAACGGCATCCCTACGAAGCAAAAGTTCCCGAACGGTGTCATGAACGCCGTTTTTTCTTCGTCTTCCACGGACATCGGGATTTGGTGGTATCCTGAGAACATGTATAGGAAAGACAATGTCTCATGGTCGGCAGTTGCGTCGATCAGCTGGTCGATGCGCGGTAGGGGATAAGGGTCTCCCGGGCATACTCTGTTGATTGTGGTGTAGTCGACGCACATCCGCCAAGCTCCTGACGATTTTTTGACTAAGACCACGTTTGCCAGCCACTTTGGATACTTTACAGGGCGGATCAATCCGGCTGCTAGTAGGCGCGCCACCTCTTCTTCTATCGCCTTCAGCTTTTCGCCGGTGAAGGTCCTCCGCCCTTGCTGCCTTGGCTCTGCGTTGGCTGGGACCGCGAGGCTGTGTTGAGCTACTTCTCTGGGCACCCCTGGCATGTCCTCTGTGCACCACGCGAACAGCTCCTTGTACTCTTTCAGCAACGTCACGAGTGGTTCGATTGCGTCGCTGCCAACGTGAGTGGAGATGCGTATCTTCCTAGTCGGCTCGGTGGAGTCCAGCGCGACCTCGAAATCGGAATCCATGGACTCCGGTCGGGGTTCTTCTGCTCTTGTGTCGACTATGTTGGTTTGACGCGCCACAACGCGGTCTTCCCATGTCGTTCCCCGTGCTTCCCCAACTCCTCTCTGTGTTGGGAACTTGAGCTTCTGGTGGCACGTCGACGGGAGGGCCATGAACTTCGCAAGGAAAGGTCGGCCCAGAATGCTGTTGTGCGCCGATTCACAATTGACGATTGTGAACTCTACTTGCTTGGAGACGCGCGGTTCCTGGTCGCCAATTACCACTGGGAGGGTGACCACCCCAATCACCGGGACTCTGGTTCCGGAGAAACCGACCAGGTTGCCTTGCGCGCGCCTGATTAGGCGCGGGTCGATGTCCATTTTGTTAATGGTGCTCTGGAAGAGGATGTCAGCCGCACTACCCCCATCTATCAGGAGACGGTGGGTCTTGCAGGCGGCAATCAGCGCGGTCACGATGAGTGGCTCCTCTGACGGGACTCCTTGTGGGAACTCCGCGTCATCAAAGCTCAGATTGAACTTTGTCGGTGCGTCGACGGCCGCGCACTCCGTCGTGCGCTCACGCTTGGTTTTTTTCTTGGGGCGATCTCCTTCCACCGTTACCACCCCGATTTCCTTGCGCACTACATACGCCCCTGTGTCGTCGTCGTAATCGGCTTGTGGGGGTGGGGGCGGGTGCTGCGGGGCCTCAACCTGCTCTTTTTTCACGTGAATGAACTCGGTTAGCAATCCTCGCCGTACGAGGCCCTCTATTTCGTACCGTAGCTCTCGACAGTCTTCCGTCTGGTGCGCCGTTGCCCAGTGGAATTCACAATGCCTATTTGGATTGCGCATGTGGGGTTGGGACTTCAACGGGGCAGGCCAATTGAGCTTGTAGCCTTTCTCGCGGAGGACGTGGAACACGTTCCTCACGGAGTCGTTAAGGGGAGTGTAGGCGTTGGACGCGCGCCTGTCTGGCGATCGCCCGCGATGCGCCTGCTCTGGTGGGGGAGGAGGGTTGCGCTTCGGGCCACTGTGCATCTGTAGCAATTGGTCTCGTGGGATTGGGGTTGGAGGCTGTCGACGCGCCAGTTCCTCTCGCGGCATTTTTGCTGGTTCGAAGCGTCTGACGGATCCCGCCCCCAGGGTCTCTTCTAACGTGATTGCCTTTTCAATCTTCATTTCCAACTCTGTTGACAGCGTGACGGGCCTTTTTGCTAACGCGCGCTTGAGCTCCATACTGTTGGTGGCCTCCATGAGGTGATGGGCGGCGGTTTCGGGGGTGAGGTCGCGGACGGCCATCGCTACCCTGGACCATCTGGCGTAGAAGGCTCTCAAGCTTTCTCCGTCTTTTTGCCTGATATCTATCAGGGCCTTGAGGTGAAGAGGGCGCCGCTTCTGGGACGCGAACTTTGTTGTGAACAGAAGTATAAACTCCTCGAACGAGCGGATGATTCCGTTCGGGAGGCGGTTGTACCAGTCGAGGCATATTCCCGAAAAGGTTGACGGGAAGGTTCTGCACAGCGCCGCATTCGAGTTGGTTTGGAGTTGCATGCGCAAGCAGAAGGTGCTCACGTGGTCTTCTGGGTCGGTCGTGCCATTGTATGTTGGGAGGGTGGGTGGCGCTCCGCTTAGGTGCTCCGCCATAATTTGTGCGCTTAACGGCTGGTGGAGAACCTTCTTGGGCGGGTTAGGTCGGTATTGCGGAGACAGGTGTTGCTCCAAGAAGCTGAGGTCCGCCCGCCCTGGTGGTTCAATTCCCTGCGTTTCTCCCGCGGGGAATTCCGCTGGCGCGTGTCGTGGTGGTTGGGCGGTTCCGGACGCTTCTCCCACGGCTTGTTGAGGCGCGACCGCCGTTGCCTCTGCTGTTGGCGCGGCCTCCCTGCTCATCATGAGCGCGATGACTTGGCTAATTTGCTTCTGCATGTCGGCTATGACGTTGTTTTGCTTTGTCACTAGCTCCCTCATTTCTTTGGCTGTCAGTTCGGGCTCTTCTTCTTCAATAAGCACCGCATTGAGGTTGCTGGCTTCTGCGAACGCCCTTGGGTCGGTCATCGCCTTGATGGGCGTTGCTTCGTCAGGTTGATCGTGGTTGCGTTCTGCCATTGGTGGGTTTTCTTCTGCGCTTCTTCTTGGCCCCAAGGTGGGCGCCAATTGTTTGAACCTAACTGAGTGTAGGAGTGAGATTCAAGTAAGAGTTAGGGTCAAGAAGAAGTGCAAGCGATGGGTTTGATCGGAAGGTCGGAGACTAGAGAGTTGAGTGAGAACAAGAGAAGGGATTTTAGAGAGATAAGTTGTTATTGTAGAGAGAGAGTGGTGAAAAATGCGATCCCCTCACCCACCGGAGTAAATGCCATATTTATAGGCTACATGGTGGTGGGTGAGTGGATGGATTACATGATGGGACCTTGACTCTGATGTGACCACTGACATGTCGGGGATTTAGGCCATCCCCCTACCTAGGACATGTCAGGGGTGTACCTACCACTGTGTCACTGATCCCGACGCGGTTGACCCTCGGGAAGTGTGAGTGGGACTCCCTGTGGCTAAGTGGCTTACAACGCGCCTGAGCTTCTGCGCCTTGATGCTTTCCACTCTCACGCGGCTTGTGAGGAGCTCTGGGTCTTCGCGCGCTGGTTCTCCGTGCTGGCGCATGCGCAGTAGCGCGCTCTTAAGCCGGCGTGCGCGCCTTAGACCCTCGCGTGCGTCTTCTGTTAGCGTGTCTTGCCTTGCACAGCTAGGTCCGAGTCACATGCCCAACATATATATATAGAGGTTCGGCCGGTTTGAGTCGTTTTAGATGTTATATATAATATAATTATATATATATATATGGGTTAGACTGGTGTACGTCAGGCGTATAGTATACGACAAATGCCTCACACCGTTGATCTAATCTGACGGTCATTAGTAATGATGATTTATTTAATTATTAATTAGCAAATATAATTACTAACAACACCCATTAATATTTTATACGAGCATTATAGCTCCCAATTTTTTTCCAGTGAGTTCTTTATTTTGGTTCCCTACTTTCTTCGAACATCATTTTCAACAATCAAATACTATATATATTGTTTAGTGGCTAGATCGAAACTGAACCAGAGTGCTGTTTAATTTGGGTGTGGAACCTCTTAATCCCTCCAACTTGGGTTCCTGGGGTTCATTGAGTACGATTTGGGGATGATGTCCAGCCGATGAGGAGAATGTCTTCTTTAAGAATTGGCCGATTATGTATCGGATATTAGGAATTTCATCTCAGAGTATCCCAGATGAGGGCTTTGATGGAACTCGTCGAATTGGAGGTCAGTTGTCATAGAGTTTGAATACGAGAGCCATTGAAACAGAGACAAGAAGCATGTGTATTTCTTGAGGCTGCTAATCACGCTTCAGGAGCTAGCATCTGTTTTCTGCCCAGTTGATCTCCAAAGGCTTCATGTAAGCACAAATAGAACTGCTTTGTCGATCGTCCCTACTTTTCCCCTGTTCACCGACTAGAAGAATAGACAAGGAGGAGGGCGGAGATGGCGACGGTGACGGCGGCGCCAGAATCCCTGATTCAGCGGCCGCAGCTGATCACGCTTCCCCAGCGCTGTTTCCTTGTGTGTTTCAAAGAGAAAGAAGCAGAGGGAAAACGCAGCCTGCCTCTAGAAAGAGATTGAGGCAGCGAGAGAACGAAAAGAAGAAGAAGCCGCCAAGAGATAGATTTGGGCCAAGGGATTGAACGATGTCTTGCACAGAGGATTTGTGGGAGATAGACGAGAGAGAGATCCAGTGTTCGGGTAAAAGTAGAACTCAGGGGTGAGGACTGAGGAGGAGAGATATTCTTGGTTCGTATTTTGATGATTGAAAAATTGGCATTTCAGGAAGCAATCACCCAAATTTGTCGATGGAGAATTAATTGGTAGTGGTACATAAGTTTGGGTGTTTGAAAGAATGAGTAAAAACACACGGTACTATGAAAAGAAATGGTAAAATTTGTTCAAGGACTATATCGTATGTCTATAATTTTAATGGGTGTCATTAGTAATTATAATTTCAAATAATTAATTTTTTTTATCACCGTAAATAACGACCGTTAGATGAGATCAATGGTGAGAAAATCTGACGTATACTATACGCCTGACGTACACCAGTCTAACCCATATATATATATATATAATTATATTATATATAACATCTAAAACGACTCAAACCGGCCGAACCCCGATCAAACCATTAAACCTCAAATTTTTTGCTTAACCGATTTAATTACTTAAACCGGTTTAACAACCTTGAAAATTGATGATCATTGATACGTTATTTTTCCAAACCAAAAAGGCTTAATAAAAGCGGAACACTCGCGTAGCAAATAATTCCTTTTTTCTGCTGGCTCCGTCAATCCCTCGAACCAGCGCGACTCGCCGCCTTTTTTCTCGCTCGAATCGGAAGGTGCCCTGAAAATCCCAATCCCGTAGCTTCTCTTGTCCAATCGGTCAATCAATCAATCCCTCTCGATCTCAGTCGAGATCCGCCATCTTCAATCTCCTCCCTCTGTTCCCGCTGGCTTTTATCCCCACTCCTTGTGCGGTCTCAATACAGCCCCCTAGGGTTTTGCTTTCCTAATTCATGTCCTTTCTTCGCTCCTGGATTTTCCAAGGGAAGCTTCCAGTTCTCTGCTAGCTTGGTAGATCGGAATTGATTCTTTGTTCCCTCGTTTACTTCATTCGTTACTGCTATCGGGTTCGAAGTTGCTTTGCGCCCTAGGGTTTCGAGATCTCTGCTCGTCTTTCGTATTTGCGTCGGAGTAAACCGAAATCCGGCGGGCTTAGGCTTCTTCGCTGGAATTCGGGAGTTTCTCGGTGCTGGAAGTGGCAGGCTGATTGTATTGGACTTGTTGCATATATATATATATATATATGGCGGCAGGGAGACATGGAGGATATCGCGATAATGAGTTCAGAGAGCGGGATTCGGAATTTGAGTTGTCGAGGAAGGAATCTGCGTATTCAAAGGAGAGATATGATAGGATAGGGAATGGTACACAAGAGTATGATGGTGACCGCGTCCGAGTTCGTGATTCGAGGGATAGGGTTAGCGGTGGTAGGATGAGGCAGAGGGATGTTAAGGACAGGGTGGCCATGAATGGTGGGGATAGGTGCTCGTCTAGTAGGAGCAATTCAGGTAGTAGTGGTGGCGGTGCGGGCGGGTTGAGGCCGTGTGGTTCTCTGCGTGCGACTGTCGATAGAGAGCCTGGTGAGTTGTCTAGCGATAGTGGGTCTGATGGTGCAATTGCGTCAGAATCACGGGTCAGTAAAGAAAGTGAAAACTTGTTGAAGGTGAGAGAGAATGTCATGGTAAAGGCTCATGTCGAGAAGAAGCGGAAGTTCTCTCCAATTGTGTGGGACAGAGATGAAAAGGCAGTGAGTAATTCATTGAAAATCGGAGGTCATCAACAGGTGGTAGCCTCTCTTCCTCCTCCTCCTCCTCCTCCCTTCGTGCCGGAGCTGCAAAATGAGTCACCTGATGTTGTTACTGAAGAGATAACAGTAGGAATATCATCCGTTAGAAGTGCTGACAATCATAAGTCACAATCTTTATCTCCTTTCAAGTATCCCGTGTCTAAATCTTCAGGCGAGTCTGACTCTCCCGTTGAACAGGTACCTCCAACATCTATGTCTGATGAACGCCAATTAGGCAAAGATCTCCAACCAGAGGCTCCAGAAGATGAAGATTATGTGCCAACTCGTCATATATCTTCCTCAAGATGGGCAGCTGCTATCAATTCTCCTGTTGACGAGGGTGAAATTGTAGAAGACCACACTATGATTAAAAGGAGGAAGTCCTCTGATTCTAGGTTGCAAAGTAAGTCTGTGTCCCCTGAACCTGGAAGCCTCAAGAGAGAAGGATCCGAAGGAGGCAAGGACAGGTTGTCTGCTTCTGAAGAACCGGGATCTCATCCGAGGTCCTCGAGTGGAGATCAATATCCAAACAATGATTCTGAGAGGGACGAAGAAATGGAGATTGATGGGGATAATGATTACAAGTATAGGAACGTTGGCCACTCAAATACTGATTCTGAAGATGAAGATGGTTCTCAGGGAACACCTGAACCAGCTGGTCCGCCTCAGAGAAGTGTTAACATGCTCAGGGGTTGTAGGAGTGTTGAGGATTTTGAGAGACTTAATAGGATAGATGAAGGTACATATGGCGTTGTATTTAGAGCCAAGGATAGCAAGTCTGGGGAAATTGTAGCCTTGAAAAAAGTAAAGATGGAGAGAGAACGAGAAGGCTTTCCTCTTACTGCTTTGAGGGAAATAAACATTCTCCTTTCCTTACATCATCCTTCTATTGTGGACGTTAAAGAGGTGGTGGTAGGTGGTAATCTTGATAGCATTTATATGGTCATGGAGTACATGGAGCATGATCTGAAAGGACTTATGGAGTCAATGAAGCAGCCATTTAGTCAGAGTGAAGTTAAATGCTTAATGTTGCAGCTGTTAGAGGGTACAAAGTATTTGCATGACAACTGGGTGCTTCATCGTGATCTTAAGACATCAAACCTGCTACTAAATAATCGGGGTGAGTTGAAAATTTGCGATTTTGGGTTGGCTCGTCAATATGGGAGCCCATTAAAGCCATATACTCAGATGGTGGTTACTCTTTGGTACAGGTAAGCTGAAGCTTTGGTGCATTTGTTGTTTATCACTCAGAAATTCAATTAAGTTTCGCTCATGTTGGATCCCTAATGATAGAATTCAGGTTTCACTATATTGTAATATTTGTGTGCATGTTGCTCTGGCTTGAGATTAGTTTTTTATTCCATTTTGTTTATATCCAGGGCACCTGAACTTCTTCTTGGAGCACAACAGTATTCAACGGCAATTGACATGTGGTCATTGGGCTGTATAATGGCTGAAATGCTATCTAAAGAACCTTTGTTTAATGGCACAAAAGAATATGACCAACTTGACAAGGTAAGTTAACCATGCGAAACACGCTGATGTCTTGGTTTGCAGTTGTTCACAATAAGTTGTTTTCAAGCTTCAACTTTTTTGCTGAAATGCAGATTTTCAGAATCCTTGGTACACCCAATGAAACTATCTGGCCTGGGTTTTCGAAGTTATCCAAAGCTAAGGTCAACTATGTTAAGCATCCGTAAGTATCATGTTTTCGTTTATTTCTAATTTAAAATGATAACACAGTCAATTCTTATTTCTGTCACTGTTTTCCCAGGCTCCCAGCTGGGTGATTATGGTCTGCTGATCTGGCATCCACTGGTTGAAATTTCCGTGACGACATTTGCATTTCCTGTTCATTCTTAACAGTATCACCTTGTTCTTTCAGGTATAACCTGCTTCGTAAAAAATTCCCTGCAACATCTTTCACTGGATCACCTGTGCTTTCTGATGCTGGGTTTGATTTGTTGAACAAATTGCTCACCTATGACCCTGAGAAGGTAGACATCATTTAAGCTTTGTCAGTATGTCTAAACACATGCATGTGGCTTTGTACTGATCCCTGCTGTTCATTTTTTACCCCCAGCGGATAAGTGCTGAAGCTGCTCTTAACCATGAGTGGTTTCGTGAAGTACCACTTCCTAAGTCGAAAGACTTCATGCCTACATTCCCTGCTCAACATGCACAGGACAGGTACCTTGCCGATATAATTTTCTGGAAGTATCCGTTCACCAGTAAACTCTCACATGTTTAGTTTTTTAATCATGTTCTTTTATAATTAGACGTCTGCGAAGGACGGTGAAGAGCCCAGATCCTCTGGAGGAGCAACGCAGAAAAGAACTGCGGCAGGCGGATTTGGGGACTGGTGGGTTATTTGGCTAAGGGAGTATATTTTCCATCCTGGCCTTTTATCTCCATGATTAGCTTCCACATTGTTAACACAATACGAGGTTAAGGTGAGGGATAACTACTGAAGGGAAGTTGCAAAACATTGATTATCAGACAGTTGTTCACCCTGTTTTGCTCATCTGGTGTTCTGATTGGGGAGTTATTTGCCTACTGCCATCAAGTAGTGTTGCAGGTTTCCTTCGTCACAGAGTTGTCTTTCATTGAGCCTATAGATTTTCATCTGTGACACTGCTTGCTTCGCAAGGTGTGGCATAATGGGTTTCCTTTCGAAAATCAGTTTCAGCTGAAACGAGTGTATGTAACATATTTTTTACTCTGGTACATTGTAAACAATTCGATCCAAATACATTTTAAAGATTTAGAGCGTATGGTTTACTGCCGAATTGCCTGTTATCTTTCTTTTTTTAATTTTCACATTGTGTTTGCAAGAGACGATTGATTTGAAGTGGAGAAGAGAAGTTCTTAGCATTGATTGATGAAGAGATTCAATAACCGTGATTTGTCAAAGGTAAATTTGGCATCCATGTCCCTTACTAGCCAAGATGACATTTTCTTGTGTGTTGTATACAGTTGCTTCCTGTATCAATTTATCTGGCTGATATTGTCTGGTAACTATGTAGTTTGTGCCATGTGTCCCTTTGTTGTTAGTAACTTGGGAAATTTTATATCTGGTTGAAGTGTAAACTTCCTTAAACGTACCTTCGGTGTCCTGCTATTATCAGTTCTATTGGTCCCATAGCATTCTGCTGCTGTGTCTGAATTTTTGCTGACCAATATTTCTATCAATGGAGTTCCAATTGATTTGTATAGTTTAGACTGGTCGAGTCTTTCGCAAGCTTTAGAGTGAGCTTCAGGATGTGCCTCATTGTGCTTTCTTTTAACATTTTGGATTTTTTCACGTGTACGTGGCTCCTATGCACTCACGTCTTACTGTAACAATTTACTAACACTGATTGAAAGGAACAGAATCGTGAATAAAATTGTTTACCACTGGTTGTCCTTTGGTTCCTGAAATAGTGGCATTCTTTTTGCAAGGGTGGTACTGTCTTTATTTAACTGTGTCCCGTTTCATTTGAATACTACATCCTGGGTGGTGCTGACTGATTGTAATAAGATTGTTTTTTATTTTCTTTGTACGTGCGTTTAAAAAATCATAGTACAAGCATTGAGAGCTGTTCAATGACTCACTCTGCTGATCTAACTGCAGTACCAAAGACAAAAGGTCCTGGAAGTTACCTGCATACTGCGGATTTTCTAGAATTTTCAATTAATTGTCAACAATGCTCACCAAAGGTACAGAACAGCCCTTGGTTTGATCCTCCGTCAGTTCGTACTTTCAATTCTGCCTGCGTTGTCAAAATCTTGTGGTTCTATTGGACGCCGTCTTTCATGCAATTGATGGTAGTTAGAAGCTGAAGCTGCATCTGGTTTGTCTCCTTACAAGCTTGTAGATTTCAGTGTCTTTTTATCTGTTACCCTCCCCCACTAGAACTCTGGTTTATGTCGTTCCTATTATACTTAGAGTTTCCTTTTAACAGCCAAAGAATGATTTTGCTTTTTCATTCCTGTCAGTTTTCGCTAATGACATGGTATGTCGTAGACGTAGAGTAAGTCATGCACTGTCTTTCTTGTTTTGGTGAAATGTTTGCAAGGCCGACGCAGACGTTTCTGGATGAAAAGTTTATGGAGTTCAGTCTCTGCTGATAGCTGTTGATTAATGGCTTTTTCTGCCATTTGTTTTCCCTCTATTTGATTAAAACCTACTGCCTGTGTAGGCCAAATATATGTAATTGCCAGATGCATCAGGTTACGTGAGGGTCTTTTTTGTTGGCCATAGAACTAGCAGCAACAGAGAAGAGGTGGGTGAATTCACTGAGTTGCCCGATTATGTTGGGCCTCGGTGGTGTTTTTATCCTTGGTTCAGTTGAGGTCTTGCATGCGTATACTTCTGTAGTTTATCATTTTTAGCCCCTTTTACCCTACTCAAAAGAATTCTGCTTAGTGTCACCTCACTTCCTTGCCAGGGTTTGGGCTGCAAGGTTCATTAGGTAGCCATTCAGTGACTAAAAGTGATTGCCTCAGTTTTCAGCTCTTTGGCATGAGATGTAGAATGATTTGTGCAGCAGTGACTTGTCTTTTTTAGTAGGGTTTTATTTTCCTGGAAGATGAGTTCTCTGTGTTGGGACCTGTTAGTGTGGTCTTGAACAGGAGGAGTGTTGTTTGTTGTGTCCTATAACATGGAACAACATGGCTTTGTGTCGGGGGGCATTAAGATACTTGCGTACTGAGAAGAGGCTGGAGGAACCAGTGGGTTACGGAATGGATACTTAATTGGCCAAGTCTGCAACAGCTTCTTCTACCCACTGATGCCCTTGAGATTGGATCTGTGATGTCCATGAGATTTAATGATACAACCAATCTCTCAACTGTGCGCTATCTTTGAGCGGTCACTTGCCATTTCCCCCCAAGGGCTTGTCTTTGGATCATTCATGCTTCTCCTGTTGGTTACCTTTATACAGTAGGATATGGATGTCTCTCTTGTGCCCATTTGGTTCTGCTTCCTGTTTTTCTGTGTCCTCTTCCCAGTTCCGATATGTGCGGTGTTTCTGACTGTGGTTCCAGGTTTTGATGAGAATGGGAATGCAGGGTGTTGGCTTGTAGTATGGTTTCCAGCGCACGGAACCTTCTCTTCCGTTGGCTTGTATCGTTTTCTGTAAATTAGTCTTATAACCATTAAAACCCTGGCCAAATATCAATACCGTAGACAGATTTAGACGCCAGAATCATGGCTGCAGTGGGGTAAACAATTTGCTTAATATTGTTTGAATGAATGATTAAATAAAAAAAAATCCATTATATCATTGGTTTAGGCAAGAATGGGCTTTCCCGCGACGGTCTCTCAAGTTGACCGAGTACTGTTAAGTGTTAATAAACGCTGGGCAGAAGACGATATGCTGGTGCGAATTTTTGACATACCGACGTGGCCGGACTAGGGGCCCACTAATCTTCTAGAACATCGCTTATTAATATGGATTATAACGAGTAAGAGGGGAGGTGGAGAGGCTTTGATACTACTTGTAACATTCCGAACTTTTATTCGACAAAGATATTGTCCGGGACTTAATTTTCACGGTTTTTTATTTGGGGTGCAATTCAATGTGACTTTTCATAAGGTCAATCATCCTTGTTGTACTTCATCTTATGGGAAGTCACCTTGAATTGTACCTCAAGTCAAAAACTGTGATGATCGAGACACAAAGCGAACAATATCTTTGTCGGGAAAAGGTTCGGGATGTTATAAAAGATAACAAAAAAAAAATGTACCGAAGGGATTGGAGAAACCCTTTAATAGTTTTTGTAGATTTTATATGAAAATTTTCAATCTACAAATATTTGGGTTTCGCAGCGTCAGAAGAGGTGAACTAGTTCATTGCGGCTGAAAAAGCGGTGCATGCTTCATTGCACGACAGTCAAAAGCTGTGATTAGGTCAAAACTTTAAACGGACGTAAATTTCACTCGGGTATCCGATCGTAGCGAATATTTTTTTGATTCTGCAGAATTTTTCAAGATCTTGCAAGCCGCAAACAACAAGAGGCGGTTTGGACCAGCCTTCGTCCCGAAAAAACGTCGTTTGCTATCCCAAACAAGCAATATTTAAATTTCGCCAGACTTTGGACTGTCATAACTTTGTGTTCCGCAATTTGAACGTTATATATTTTTTTCGCATAACTTTTTAAGAACTACAACTTTTAAATACGAATAGTCTTGTATTGGGCACAAAATTCGAACTTCTAAATGCGAAAACAAAATAGCATCGGCATCTAAATAGGCAGAGCACTAAAATCACAGTTGCTAATTCCTAATCCTTCAAGGTGCAGCCAGATGAGCTTGAGAAAAATTGGCAGCAAGGCAACCAGAACAGGTCTGAAGCGCTTCTCATATGACATGGACAGCAACCGTCGACCAACTGCTCTCAGCTGGTGGTGCTGAAGACGATAGTCTTCCTAAGCGAGAACGTGACGAGAGTGAGCTCGAAGAAGAAATTTGTGTTTAGGAGTCCATTCTAATACTGCTATTCCTCCTGGATTGTTCTGCAGATATAACTGCATTTTAAGTGTCATGTAGGATTTGCAATTGAGCAAATACCGAATACTCTTATGACTCGCTAAGAAATAACTGCAACGAGACAGGGATGAAAGCAATAAGAAATAACAGCGAAGAGGGAAACAAGCAAAAGGAAGCAATCGACAAGCATGATGGTTACCAAACAAAAGGGTAGAAAGAAAACACGAAGAGCTAAATGTAACAGACACCATCTATGTATGTTGCAAATGTACAAGTTAATACGTCGAGTAATGCTCATTGTTTGCTTCTCGAAAGGAGCAGGGCAAGGTACAGATCGTAGGCTGGGTACAGTGTCAAAACAGAATGCGATGCGTGGAACACTCTATGCTTTTCCAGTTCTATCACACAGCTTTCCAGCTTAATCAAGATTTTCCACACAAACTTATTGCTATAACATTTTGGTATAGAGATCATAACGTTACAACAACAACATACAACAATAACTGTATATGAATCATAACTCAAGCAGAAACACTTTTGGGGATTCCACGACCTGTCACCCCTGGCCCTGAAGTTGGATGTAGTAGCTCATATGGAGGAACACCAGCACCGCATCTGTTTTGCAATTGAATGTCCTTGTTTCTGAGATTTATCATCTTCTCTATTGCCTCCAGCTGATCGGCAAATTTACTGTACAGGTTTTGTATATCTTCATCGTTGGTCCAGTGGTTGCCAGAGGAGTTTGGCTTGCCCAAATACTCTTCATCAGGGGAGTGCGATGACACGCTCTCTTGGGTTGCCATCACTTTACTAGCTTGATATCTAGTTGGCAAAGATGACAGGAAAAACTCCTCAGGATTCAGCTTGAACTTCTCATAATCAGGCTCGCCTTCTTGTGGGATCAATCTTCTCATGAATGTAGGACGATTAAGGGGACATCCTCCAAACGGGTACTGCCCAAAGTTAATAGCTGCGTGCTGCCCTGATGTAGTCCAGATCATAGTAGTAAGTATGCTGGATAAGTCCTCATTTGTGTGGAGTTTAGGCCACCATGGCTCATTTCTTTTATCAGCATGACCTATGTTCAGTATCTCATCCCACCAAGCTTGAAGTTCCAAATCAGATTTGACAGAATTAGGCTCACAGTAGAAGTGTTCTACATAGGCTTCCGCCAATTCTTTGATAGCTTGCCAGATCAAGAGCCCATCCGATGCATAAGGATAGTCTTCAATAACAAGTTTCACGCCACTTGGCATGCAAGGATCTTGCACTGCCATGCCCCTGAAACAATTTGATCACTAATGGCAACTGTCATTATTTTCTGCAGTTGTTTTCCTTATCTGACACAAGATTCAGCAGCAAATTAGTGGTAGATGATGTATCACCTTTGAAGAAGATCTGCAGGTAATGCATCCATATCAAAGCGCCACATGGTCTTGTAGGCTGCAGAGCTCAACCCCATGGCATATTTTCCAGGGCTGTAAGAAGCCTCAATGATTCCTCCTCCACTGATCAAGTTTTTCCGTGCAAATGCATTGACTGCCAGTGTATAGCGCATATGGGGATACAACAACTTGTAGATGGGATGCATCACACTAAGCTGTCTGTGCATCGCAATTATGTAAGGCTCCGTGCAGACATGAGTCCGCAACCTGAAAAAAATCCATATAAGCAGAAGTGTTATTTTCCAAAGAAAACTTAAATGTATTCAAAACACACAAAATGTTCCTTCACTTCCTTACAAATGATTCACTATTTGATGAATACTGGCATCATTTGGCCAAACATGAGCCTTGGCTAGCTTCCACATCCACTGAGTTGTAGCATCTTGTCCATGAGTGAACACACGTTTGCTTCCAGCAGAAGAAGAGGAGGTTGGAGGAAGGGAAAGTTCAATGGCTAATGGCCTTAGAACACCAGCGTTGCTGAGGTAGAAAACCGTTCTAGATGCATAAGTTTTTATCCCAGGCAAGGAGTTCATCTTGTTAACAAATGGAAGAATTTGATAGAGCTCTAGGTCAAGCTCTATCGGACAATTGGGGATCGGGGATCAACTAGGGATTGATCCGGGAGATTGGGAGATAGATGATAGAAGAATAGAGGGGATTTGAGATGAGAAGGAGGGAGGGAGGGGGCTGCTGCCGCTGGGCAGCTTGGAAGAGAGGGGGAAAGGGGTCGGCAATCACAGAGGGAAGAGAGGAGGAGGGAGAACAACTAGGAATTAGGTTTATTCTTGCTTACCATTCTCTACGTAAACAATAGCCTAAATACCCAAAACACAATTACCTACTAACTCCCCCAAATTATTAATCCCCCACAATATTCCCAATACCCAAAATAATCCCGAACTAAATAATTCAAACCGACATAAACCGAAATAATTAAAATGTCTATCATTCCCTTCCTCTTCAAAACAACCTTGTCCTCAAGGTTGGTAGCCTTCTCCTGCGTCTTCCCCGCCTCTCGCTTCATCTTCCGCCTCGTCCTCCCACCTCCCTACCAGCATCATCAAGTCCGGACGTGCACACTTGTGGCCAATCGTGAACCTCTCGTCGCAGTTGAAGCACTTCCCTTCCCGCCGCTTCTGCTCGATCTCAGCAGGGGACAGTCGCACAAACCCCTTGGGCGGAGGTCGTGCCCCACCCTTCACGACAGCTACTGGCGCCTGTGTCGCCGTGGGTCCTCCAGCTCCAACCGCGGTCCCAGGCGCTCCTCCTCCTCCACCGCTGAGTCCGCTACTGCTCCCGGCGCCCCCTGCCCGCGGATTGCGGCCCATGGTGCTCCTCCAACTCGCCAGCTCCTCTTCCTTGAACCCTGCAAGACGAAAAGCAGATTTCACGGAATCCGGCTCAAAGATCCGGACAGCAGCAGCAATCTCCGGCTTCAGGCCGGCCATGCACAACCCCATCAGTGTCTCCTCCGGGACCCCATGGCATTGATTGCCCAATTTAAAGAACTCTGCACGGTAGTCCGCAACAGAGCCAGTCTGCTTCAGCTTAGCCAACTGCTCTGGGGCCCACCCCTCCGATTTTCCAAACTGATAACGCAGCTCCTCCTGGAACAGCGGCCAAGTGATCAGAGTTCCCACCGCCCCATAGGACCTCTCCATCCATTCCCACCACTGCAGCGCTTCTCCCTCTAAGTAGAAGGACGCCAGATGCGCCTTCCTCTCCTCCGGAATGGGGTGGTTTCTGAACCACCTCTCTGCTGCATACAACCACAGCCCTGCATCCTCCTGACCATTGAATTTTGGAAACTCAATGGTCGGGGGTTTGGCTCGAAAGACCATTCCATCAGCTCCATCATAAGCAGGATGATACGAACCATACCTGTCATAACCGGGAGCACCCCCTGGCTGGTCTGGGTAGAACGGAGTCCCCCTTCCTCGCCCAAGGCTGCCTGCGGGCCCTCGCCCCATCGGTCCTGCCCAATTCCCTGCACCGTGCGATCCGCGCCACATGTTCGGGTCCATGCTGGCCGATCTAACCAGCCCCGGTTCGAACCGGTTCGGTCCACTGTCGGTTCGACCCGGTTCGGGTCCGCCCCGACCCGACCCACCTCGACCCGACCCGGTCAGCCCCGGGTCGGTCTGACCAGCCGAGCCGCCTCCTCGACCCAGCCCCGGTCCACCCGGCCCAAACCGACCCTCCTGGCCCGGCCCAAACCTGCCCTCCTGGCCCGGCCCGAACCGGCTCTCATGGCCCGGCCCGAATCGGCCCTCCTGGCCCGGCCTAACCTGCACGATCTGGGCCCCTGTTACGTCCGGGCCCAAATAGTCCCCGCCACCCGCCGGGTCGGCCCATGGTGCGTTCTGGCCCACCAGGCTGAGCTCCTCCTCGATCCGCTCGTGATCCATGGTCAGCCACCCCAGGCCTCTGGGCTCGTGATACTGGCCCACTATGTCGCTCCGGCCCATTGGCCTAGGCGGCCCCTGCCCAGTCGGCGGAGGCCCATTGTCGTACCCTGGCATCTTGGCCTTACCCTTGCGGGCCGCCAACTCCTGGGCCGTTGGTGTCGGTAGAAGCCCAGGCCCACCGCTGCGCCCTGGCTGACCCTGGCCCACTCGCTCCCCGGCCCCGGGCACCATCTCCGCCGCGTCAACCACCTCGACAGCCGCCGTTGGGGGCGGCGCCTCCGCCACCACCATCGCCCCCGCTGTCGCGCCACCCGCCGCCGCGCCTCCATCCGCCGTCGAGCCTCCCAGCCCGCTCCGGCTTTCGCTCCCATCGCCGCCGCCACCACCCTTCGGCCCAGTGGCTTGCGCGGCGGCCAGCGCCTCCACGACCCTCTGCACCTCATCAAACCTCTTCCAAACTCGCCGAGACTCCTCCTCCTGTTCCCGCCGCTGTTCGCCTTGCTCCTGCCGGAGCGCCCGCCATTCCTTGCGCTCCTTCTCGAACTCAGCTACCAGGCGATCCAAAGTAGACTGAATCAGCTCCAGCCTTTCAGTTTCGTCCACCAGCTCACCGTCCCGCGGATCGGTGGCCCCCTGGTTGCCGCCGCCAGCTACCGGCAGCCCGGTCGAGACCGCGGTGGAGGCCTGCTCCGGCGCCGCCGCCTTGGCAGCCTTCTCCGCCGCTGTCATCGATTTTGTGGACACCATTGCACCCTTCTTTCGCTGTTTGTGATCGAACCCAAGAACCGGGCTCTGATACCAAATGATAGAGCTCTAGGTCAAGCTCTATCGGACAATTGGGGATCGGGGATCAACTAGGGATTGATCCGGGAGATTGGGAGATAGATGATAGAAGAATAGAGGGGATTTGAGATGAGAAGGAGGGAGGGAGGGGGCTGCTGCCGCTGGGCAGCTTGGAAGAGAGGGGGAAAGGGGTCGGCAATCACAGAGGGAAGAGAGGAGGAGGGAGAACAACTAGGAATTAGGTTTATTCTTGCTTACCATTCTCTACGTAAACAATAGCCTAAATACCCAAAACACAATTACCTACTAACTCCCCCAAATTATTAATCCCCCACAATATTCCCAATACCCAAAATAATCCCGAACTAAATAATTCAAACCGACATAAACCGAAATAATTAAAATGTCTATCAGAATTATATCATGGTGATCCAGGATGAATAGCCTCTTCTCCTCGAACGCCTACATCAATTAAATTGCATCATACCTTCTATTGTTTGACAAGAACTCATTTCTTCTAACATTATCGAGAACCAAGAGAAATACCTCTTCCAAGCTCATCTCCAGGAGGTCCCGCTCAATAACTTCCTTCGTCAGAGCCGACTCGGGCGGGCCATAAACATCAGGATCTAGCTTGCTCGATATAGGTAATTCCTGCAACCCAGAAGGCAAAAATTAATCCCACGTCTCGCAACACCAAATGCAGTTTGAACAAAAGCATCAGGCTATAGTTCACAAGATTGAACAATGCAATTACCCTTAAAAGTTCAATGTTCACCGGATTCACCCCAGCCAACATTTGACGAGCAAACTCCCCATCTCGCAGCCATGAAAACCTATCCCCTGAATATATAAATAGCTAATCATTAGGGTTGGCAACGGGGCGGATCGGGGACGGGTAGCTAGTTCCCGTTACCCATCCGTCAAGGCTGACGGATTTCCCCGTCCCCGTCCCCGTCCCTTTGTCGGGGCACGTTTGGTTTCCGTCACCGTCCCCAGACGGATTCGGGTTAACCACGGATCACCACGGATCCTGAGTAAAATACAAAAAAAAAGGAAAAAAACTAATAAAAAATTCCTGAAATTCAAACTTCACATTACCTTGATGTTCAAGGCACATAAATTCAACACACAAAAGAGAAGATCTGGGGCTGTAACCCTCCCACCACCCAACACCCAGATCTTCAATGTTCAAACAATGAAACAAAAGTGATAGGTTGCAGCAACCAAACAAGCTGCTGCAACCAAAACCCACCACCCAAAACCCATATAACATGTTCTTCACTAATCACTACACTAGTGTTCAAGTTCAAAACTCAAAAGGAAGAGATAAAAAACAAAGGCAGACAACCTCAATAACATCATCCATAAATCGAACTAAAACCTATACTAATAGCACACACGAGTTCCTTTGATCTTTTCTTCCAAAAAGTAAGCAACACCATGCTGCTGGAAACCAACTCAACACTCAACAGCAGCATTCATCCTTGAAAAATGAAAAGCAATCACTGCAAGAAACAGAGTAGCAAACACAGTTAGATAAGTGAAAGTCACTTTTAAATTGAACAAGTTAAAAGGCTCAAGTCTAGCTCAATACCTTGAACCTTTCATTGCATTGAACAAATCAGTCGTCTAGGGATATTAGATGCTTCCTCATCACAAGTCCCCCCTGAACTGTAAGAATAAAAAATTACAGTTAGAGATTGAAACTATCAAACTAAGTACCAATCTAAATTGAACTAATTACCAGCTTCGTCTTGATCTTCAGTACTGGAATCTGAAATTGCTAGAGCAGAGAACACCCCTTCCATTGCCTCTACAGCAGCCTTCGATGATTCTGCAGATTGAAGAAAACAATGAAAAAGACAATTAATATTCAATCAAGTTAACATTTTAATGAAAAAGACAAGTAATTGCAGATTACCTTGTTGCATTTCCTCCATAATCCAACTTCTGGTACACATCATTGCCTCTATTGTATCATAGTGCAATCTACTCCGATGAGGGTCTATTAACCTCCCACCAGAGCTAAAAGCAGATTCAGAAGCCACTGATGTAATTGGTATGGCCAAGAAATCCCTTGCAATTGCTTGCAAAGTGGGGTACTTAAGGCCATTCAGTTTCCACCACATCAGTATATCAAAGTCAGGAGACCTTTTAGGAATCAGTTCCTCAAGAAGATAGTGATCCAGTTCAGTATGGACCAGAGTTGCTTTGCTTTTTTTCCTCCGACTCACAAACAGTTCAAAATCAAGATCATCATTTGCAGGAGTAGAAGAACTATCATAAGCAGTTGAAGAACCAGAATTGTTCCTCTCAGACTTGGTTTGGTAATCAAGCACCAAACCACAAATACATTGCTTAATCTTATCAGCCACCAAGTCAGTATTAGTACTGCCAAACTTAGCAGCATAATACTCAATCACATGCAACTTGTATCTAGGATCAAGAACCACTGACACAGCGAGAACCAAGTGTATATCATCCCAATACTTAGAAAATTTCTCCCACATACTCTCAGCCATAGCCGAGATAAGAGAATTGGTATCAGCACACCATTCCAACAATTTCAGTCTCAGATCACAAACCTTGGGGAAAAACAAATTAGCAGTGGGATACTTGCTGCCAGAAAACAGCTTTGTGATCTCACTGAAAATTTCCAGCTTATCAATGACCATAGCAGCAAACTCCCAGTGCATACTAGTAGGGACAGTGGTGTATTGACTATCCCACTGCCTCAAACGAGAGAAAACATCTCTATACACAATGGCTGTAGATAGCATATCATAGGTGGAGTTCCACCTAGTTGGACAATCAAGCACAAGTTGCTTCTCACAAGGCACTTTAAGCTGCTTAGCAGTTTCAAAGAAGGTTTGTACCCTCTTAGGAGTGGACTTCCAGTACACAACACTATCTCTAACCAATTCAATGCCATCTTTGATGACTTCCAACCCTTCTTTCACAATGAGATTCAAAACATGAGCAGAACATCTCATTTGAACCAGCACACCATCCAACAACAGATCATCACTAGCAAGTTTAGTTTTCATATGAGTAATCATGGCATCATTGGTGGTACAGTTATCCAAGGTAATCGAGGACAACTTTCTATCAAGATTCCAACCAAGCAAACACTTGAACAACCTATCTCCCAACCTCTTACTAGTATGAGGGGCAGGGACATAGATGAAACTCAACATCATGTTTTTAAGTTTCCAAGAATTGTCAATAAAATGACCAGTAACGGCCATATACCCCATCTTTTGGTTAGTTGCAGTCCACATATCAGTTGTGACTGCAACTCTACCAATATTACCATCTAAAACCTTCTGAAGCTTTGCCATCTCAGCCCCATATAAAGCAAATATGTCCCTCTTCACTGTATTTCTACAAGCGACAGTGAACTGGGGTTGCAAAGAACAACAGAAACGTTTAAACCCCACATGTTCAACAATGTTCAGGGGATACTCATGCACCATAATCATAGAGCACAATTCCTTCCTAGACACATCAGAATTGAATTGAGTAGCAGATAGGAGGGGTTTTCCAGTTGGTTTATAATCAGGACCAAGAACTCTCTGCCTACCATCATGTATCTTTCTTTGGGTGCAAGTTTTGTAATGGTTCCTCAAGTGGGAGGTTCCATTACTAGTATCACCACCTAAACGTTTTCGACAGTATTTACACTTGGCTTTAATCTCCCCATTAAACTTGACCCTCACAAAATGTGGCCAGACATCAGAAGTCAATTTACGATCTTCAGCCAGAATTATTTCAACATTTTCATTCCCAGAACCATTAGCATCATTCCCAGAACCATTACCATCATTCCCAGAACCATTACCATTAACATTGCCATTACCATTACCATTACCATTACCATTACCATTACCATTACCATTACCGTTTTGATTAGAAGGCACAGTAGGATCATTCGCATTCAAAGCACAATTTTCAGTAGCACCATCCATCTACATAAACAATTAAATAATTGCATTCAATCAATCAACCAAAACTATAAACTACCCAGACAAATCACACAACACACAATACAAATTACAATCGACTAAATCGAGAGTTGAATTGGACCAATAAAAAGGAAAGTCTTCGATTGGAAGTTACCTGTAATCTGGAGAGGGACTGAGGGAGACTCTGTTCACCAGACTGCAGATGGTGAGCACTGAGCTGATGCCTCGAATGATAGACACAGCTGATGCCTCGAATGCGAAGCTAAACAACTCCCAAACAAAGCCAAAAAAACAAAAGAAAATTAGCATGCATGCATCGAATGATAGACACAGCTCATGAATCTGGAAAAATAATGGGTTAAGTTTGTGCTTACCTCGACTGTGCTCTGAGCAGAGTGCAGGTAATGGGTTTAAGGAAGAAGGCTGACCAGTGACCTGAAATTAATCGAGGGGTTGATTTATATACGAGAAGAAGGAAGAAGGCAAGAAAGTTGCAGCAGAATACGAAGGGAAAAGGGGGAGAAGGAACTTATCTCGCTCGATGTGCGATATCACGTCGATTTCCCCCAATAGCTGCAAATCGAAGATTGCAGCGGGCAATTTAGGGCTCTGCATGCTGTTTCCCGACGAAATCGCCGGCAAAACTTGCATCCAATTGGCCAAAATGAGAGATAATGATTGCCAGTAGGCAATCATAATTGTATAAAGAAGCTGGATTGGGAGGAAATCGTGGGGAACAGAGAGATTTTTGAGGCGGATTAGATGTTTGGAGATTCGATGGAGATTGGAGAGAAAGAAGCTAGGGTTTCGGGAGGTTCTCGAAGAGGAAGATGAGAGGATTAGAGGAATGGGAGCAGTCGTTTGGGACGGCGGAGAGTGGAAAATGAGAGATTAGGGTTTGCTGCTGCTCGTTTTTTGGTTTATATACGATGTCTAAGCGACGTCGTTTTATTATTCGGGGCGGGGGCGGGGCGGATACCACTAATACCGTCCCCACCCATCGCCCGCGACCCACGGGTTTCGGGTAAATCCGAATCCGCCAAAAGCCCACAGCGGACGGATTTTTAGGGTGTAATTCGGGCGGGTTTCGGGTGGATACCCGCTGGGTCGGTCAGGGTTGCCAAGCCTACTAATCATCCATCAAAATTCCGAGAATCCAGAAAAACAGAACTGAAACACACTGCCGCACCTTTTATAACAGCTGGCGTGTCGAATCTCATCATTCTCTGCCACGAATTCCAGATGTTGGCCAAAATCTGATGCGCAAACCATTTTGGCTCGTCCTCCCCCATCAGAAACCCATCGCTATAGAGTGCATCGACCTCGGAGAAACTCGCGAAGGGAGCACCCCCACCGGCCAGGAAATCGGATGCCGCCGGGATCAAGTTGCGAAGGAGAGCTCTCAGCTGTGCCGCTTCCAACGCGCTTTGCTTGGCCTCCTCGAAAGCTTCGTCACGCGGCACGTAGAAGGAGCCGAGTCTGCTCTCGCAGAGTTGGTCTGAGCACGGAGGAAACCCCAAAATATATGAAGCACGAACCCTAATTGGAAATGAAATTTGGGGAAGTGTAAGGAAACTCAGCTCAGGAAATTCATACCTGTCTCGGTTGGCGGGCCGTCCAGTTCTGCAGCGCCGTGGAAATGGGAATTCATCGCTGCCGCCGAGAATCGGCCTGGCCAGATCTTCGCCACTGTCAGGACTGCCCAAGTCGTTGTAAAGAGCGTAGTCATAGATTCTCTCATGAGGCTTTCTCTCGCCGTCGCCGTTACCACGAACACTGAGCAGATCTTCGTGCCGTAGGTCTTTGATTCCCGAAGGCGTTTGCGAGGGAAGGTAAGCCTATAGGGGGATGGGATCAGTTGTATTCTCCGAGGAAGGGAATTTTGGTTGACGTATTTCCATTCCTACTCCTACACTATTGACATTTCAATAAAAAGGTACACATACTACAAATGTTGACAAATAAAGTACATGATTATATTAAACATACTACAAATTGGATTCTATTCTCCAATTTTGTTGCTTTTTTTTATAAAAGATAATCATATATTGATTCAACAAAGGTAGGTAACAGAGAATGATCTTTGATCATTTTCAAATCCAACGGTCGACAACCATCAAACGTCGCCGGATCAACTCTTCTTTTTCTAAGCTCTGCAGATCAGCAAAATGCCACCGTGTCCACTTACCTTTCCGCTGCCGTTTTGCTGCTTCTCTTCCTTCGATCGGAAGTAAAGCAAAACGCCACTGTGTCATCCATCACTCCGCTGCCGTTTTGCTATTTGATTGTCTGTCTTTCTTTCGGTCTAAGCTATGTTGTTGTTTCCATTCCAAGTAATAGGACAGAACTCTTTGACAGCTAAGAAGCTTGTCTTGTAGCTCCTTGATCTACACTATCTAAGCAGATGTTCGATCAATGAAAAGACCAAGTGATTCTAGGATTTTCAAACCACATTTGTTGTTGTAGTATCAGAGCCCTTTAAACCCTAGCCGCCGCAACAATGGAGGCCCAACCTGCTGATCAAAATGCAGCAGATGATCAACCAAATGCAGAGGCTGCTACACAGAATGCTCATCCTCAACCACAAGCAAACTACGTTCTGGAAGATCCATACTTCCTTCATGGTTCAGGGCAACCAAGTTCTCTGTTGGTGGGAGAGAAGCTCAACACCACCAACTACAATGACTGGAGCAGAGCTGTGCTCAACGCTCTAGCTGCCAAAAACAAACTTGGTTTCATAAATGGAACCTTGGTCGAGCCTGCTGCTACAGATCCACGAAGGGGTGCTTGGACTCGCAACAATGTCATGATCCTCAGTTGGATCCAGCAGTCAGTTGAATCTGAGATACGCAAAACCATTCTCTCCAGCAAATCAGCTGCAGAAGCATGGAAGAATCTTCAGACACGCTATGGTTCAGGTGACATTGTCAGGGTTGCTGAGTTAGAAGAAGCTTTGTCTACCTTGAAGCAAGGTAATCAAACTATAACTGAGTACTATGGACAAGTTATCACCTATAGAGATGAACTTGACCCTATTGTACCTACTGTAAGAGGGATGGTCATACTGAAGACACATGTTATCAAAAACATGGTTATCCTCCTGGCATGAACCTTTCAAGGCCACCCCCTCAACATGGCAAGATCACTGAGTGCACTTTCTGTAAGAAGCAAGGACATACAGAAGAAAAATGTTTTCACAAACATGGCTTTCCACCTGGTTACATACCTCGAGCTGGTACTTCTGGTGTTGGCAAGGGCAGGCATTCAGCCAATGCAGTTTCTGGAGAGGATGAAGAACAAGTTAAGTTGACCAAATCAGACTATGATAGACTCATGAGTCTTATGGCTACTCAGAAATCCCATCATATTCAGCAGCTGCTTTTGTTACCAACAGAAACACACCAGGTAAATGTCTCATCTCATCACCTACTGTGAATGTTGTTTTGCATGATCAATCAACTTGGATTCTGGACACTGGATCCTCAGATCACATAGTCTGCACTATAGACCATCTTACTGATTAGAAGCCCTTGAGCAATGTTTACATAACATTACCCACTGGCCAACAAATCCAAGCCACTCACATTGGAAAAGCAGTCTACAATGACCTATTAATTCTGGAGGATGTTCTGTACATACCTCACTTCACCTCCAATCTAGTTTCTGTGAGCAAGTTGACCACCAGAAACTCATTATCCTTGACTTTTTCTTCTAACCTTTGTGTTATACAAGATTTGGAGCAGAGGCGAATGATTGGTTCTGCTAGATTGAGCAATGGTCTCTACTACCTAGAAGCATATACTATACCTAAACACATCACAGCAGCCACTTCTGTTCCTTTTGACATCTGGCATTTTCGATTAGGACATCTGTCCCATTCAAAAATTCCTTACCTATCCTAGTTTTGTACCTCCATCCAAACTCAGAAAGAGCTTCCTTGTGATGTCTGTCACTTTGCTAAGCAAAGGAGACTTCATTTTCCTACAAGTCAGAATGTAACTAGTTTACCTTTTGAACTTTTACATGTAGACATTTAGGGACCAAATCCAGTTCCAAGTTATGATGGTTATAGATATTTTCTCACCATTGTTGATGATTTCACTCGCATGACTTGGATTGTCCTCTTACATTTAAAATCTGAAGCCAGACCTCAGCTCATAACATTCTGCAACAAAATGCAGAAACAGTTTGATCTCCGTATCAAAAGAATCTGTAGTGATCAAGGGAAAGAATTTCAGATGGATGACTATTATGATTCACATTGAATCATCCATGGGATGTCTTGTGTTGAAACTCCTCAACAAAACAGCAAAGTTGAGCGCAAGCATCAACACATTCTTGCAGTTGCAAGGGCACTCAGATTCCAAGCTGATTTTCCAGCTGGTTTTTGGGGTGATTGCATCAAACATGTCATCTATATCATCAATAGAGTCCCTTCTTCTGTCCTAGAAAACCTAACTCCTTACCAAAAACTCCATTCCAAACCTCCTGACCTTACTAATCTAAAAGTTTTTGGTTGCTTATGCTATGCTAGCACCTTAGCAAACCACATATCCAAATTTCAACCTAGAGCTAGAAAATGTGTTTTTCTAGGCTATGTGCAAGGGATTAAAGGTTACATAGTATATGATCTGATAAACTATGACATATTTATCTATAGAGATGTGATTTTTTATGAATCACATTTCCCCTTCAAAACTCTCAATTTGGAATTTCCTCAATCCCCTTCGAGTGACAATTTTTACCCCTTACCAAACACATCCTACCCTATTCCTGATGACCCACACTCTTCTCCTACTTTACCACAAGTACCACCTCCTGATCATCCCTTAACCACTTCCCCTCCTCCAGATACTCCTCTTTCTCCTACCACCTCTCCCATGGAACCACCATCCCCTCAACCACCCTCCACCACTCCCATTTCTTACCCCCACCATCCCCAGTACCCCCAACCAATTCCCACTAGAAAATCAAATAGACAATCCAAACAACTTGGTCACCTTCTTCAGGACTACCATTGTTATCTTTCTCATCAGTCTAGCAAGGTCAATCAATCAACTCTGCCTCAGATTCACAACACAAGGTATGCTCTCTCTACTGTCCTCTCTTATGACAACCTTGCTCCTCATTACAAAAACTTCATTCTCAACATTTCCTCCTACAAAGAACCTAATAACTATCAGGAAGCATCTAAGTCACCTCAATGGCCAGCTGCTATGACTCATGAGGTTCAAGCTTTGATAAAAAATCAAACATGGATATCGTTGAAAGACCTATTGGAAAGAAACTGATAGGCAACAAATGGGTGTATAAAATCAAGGTTCTTTCTGATGGTTCCCTAGACTGATTCAGAGCTCGCTTAGTGGCAAAGGGTAACACACAACAGGAGGGTGTGGATTACCAGGATACATTTGCCCCAGTTATTAAAATGACAACTGTCAGGACCTTCTTAGCAGTTACAGCCATGAGTAATTGGCATATCCATCAACTTGATGTTAACAATGCTTTCCTTCATGGTGAGCTTGAAGAAGAA